TTGACCTCAACACAATCAATGCTAACAACATGATTGAATCGATTAGACTTGCGAACAGCAGCAGGGCTGCGAGCATACGGTCGCTTGTGCGCATCACGCTCGTAGCACTTAAAGTTTGTCAGTACCCAGCGTGCTACTTCAGGCTTAGCATTGCCCCGCCTCAGAAGTCGAGCACAATCTTGATCCCCAGGATGACCAGAATTGTCGCGAACAAGCTTGAGATCGGTTAGCTGGCCCGCAGTAGGCGTCCAGTCGGGCTGAGTGGGCACTCCATCACGATCAGGTTCGGCGTTGGGGTCATCAACAGGAGTCTCTTCAGGTCCATCTTCTTCAGGCTGGTACTGTTCACTGAGTGTGCCTGCTTGATCTGTTTTACCTGTTGATCGGGAATCGTGCCAATGCCGTCTTCATCGAGCTCCAAAGATGTAGCGTAAGCTCCACTGGTGGTCTGCCACAAAATGAGGGGCCATTTTCCCTCGCAAGCCTCGGCCGCTTCAACCGAGTCCTGCAAAGTGGCGGGCTGCCACAATCCACCTGGAGCGCCTCTAAGCACAGCCACACGCTTGCGAAATACTACACGAGCCAGGCTCACATTGGTAGCACCTGGAGGGAGAAGTTGCCCAACCTGGCTGAGGCAGGTGCCCTGAGGACAAATGCTCGCCGTGAACGCTCCAACGAACGTCGCGTTAGTAGCATTGTCGCTGTAAAAGAAGGCACGGCCAGTCTTTCTCTTGGCCAAGGTACGATCGCAAGGGGAGTCAGACCAAGTATCTTGTGTGAACTCGGTAGTGCCATCTGAGTAGACAGCCTCTGTCATCCGCTCGCTGGTCAAATCATCTGCAGAAGGTGGGCCGACGGAGTAGGCAGGGGTGACATGCCTGCCGTGGGGTTCGTGATGCACTCGGACATGCGCCCTGCGACCGTCGAAGACATTTTCTGCCCTCGAATCCATCAGATGTCGGTTTTCTCCACGATCGTCTCGAAACCGCCCCCGTCCATAGTGTTCTCGCGCAGCTCGCGTTCCGCCGCGTGCGGTGCCAGACGCGTGAGTCTTTGATGTCGCTGGTTCGCCTGACTTGTGAGTCCTCATGTACCACTCGCAGTGCTGGAAGTCCTTCTCGTAGATATCCTTGAAGTCGTAGCCCGCGTGCATCCCGAACGTCACCCGTTCCCGGGGGCCCGATCTGCCCGCGCCGATGAAGCCCTCGACAGGGGGCCTCGTCCAGTGCATCTGGCAATCGTCGCGTGTCCATCAGAGGGTCGCGTTGTTGCCCCGATGGCGCGCGACCTCCTCGGGGCGCCTGCACGCGGCCTGATCGGTCTTCGCGGCGCCCGCGCCGTCGTGCCCCAGCCCCTTGCCCGCCACGAACCGCCCCGCTGGAGATCCTCAGGACTCGTGCGAAAGGTCTCGGACCGCGGGGACGAGGTGCGGATGGTGCGGCCTCGTTGTCCAGGCCTCTGGCGTCCCCGAGCAAGTTCTTGTAGGTGTTCGCACCGATGCGCGCCTCCGTGCGGCGCTTCATGGCCACGTGGTCCAGGATAGAGAGTAGCTTCAAGCACAGTTGTGTACATTTCCACGTCCGCTTCTCTGGAGTCATCAGGGACTGGCTGGACCTGCCGGTGCTTGGAGGTTCCGGCTGCGGCTCGTGCTTGGTGAGGACGCCCCGCGCGATTCGACGTCGCACGAGGTGCCGGGGGAGGCGGCAGTTGGCTGAGAAGGATTGGTCTGAGCCGAGGATTCTTGCGGATTCACGTAGAATGCGGCATCCTCAGGCTGGACGGCCTGGTTATATCCCTGAGTCTTCGGAGAGACTATTGATTGTCTGCTTTATCTGCCAACCATCATCGGGAACATCGAAACTATCGATCGAAATGTGTTTGCCTGCCCCTACCTCGTACACCCTCGATTGACTGCCGTCGAGTGCCTTCCAGATGAGAACACCACCTGGCAGGTCAAGAACCATGCCGAGCTGCATGAGCATCTCCACTGGAAGCAGCAATGGCATGTCGCAGGCAATCAAGTACACCGTGAGAGTACCGCAATTCTTTGCCAATGCAAGAGGTAGGGTCCAGCGGACCGGCTGAAGAGAAACTTGGTAGATCTTCCGACGCTCGTGGCGTCCATTTCAAGAGTAGGTATTTGTAATGGCTTCAAACTGTAGGTGTATCCTAGATTTTCCCATTTTCTCAAGCTGATCTTTGCCACCGACTCCATGCTGAGCTCCAGTATCCACTAAGCCGAAACCCATATGGACCTGAAGTCCAATGAATTCCTGTTCGCAAATATCAGCAGTGGCAAAGATAGGAACGATAAAACTAACTCCAGAGTGGGTCGTATATTCCTGTTGGCAAACATCATGCAGAGCGTCATCTGCTTCAAGAGGAAGAGCCTGGAAACCGCCGAAGCCTGCTTGCCGCTTGCGCCCCCGCTCGTCCGGCTCGTTCGCACAGTCCCGAGCCCAGTGTTCCATCTTCCCACATCGGGCGCACTTCGAGCGGCTCATCATCTTACTTTTGGTCCAACTCTTCGGTCGAACATGTTCAGATCGTTCCCCTCGACGCTTTCCCTTGCGGGAGCTTTTGGACTTACCTTTTGGAGGTGATTATTTAAAGAAGCCTCGTCCAAACTTCCGCTTGTGGAAATGTTCTCGCATCTGATTGTAATTGGCGTAGATGGCGACAGCCTCGTCTTCATCCAAAATCACATCCTCGGGCATGTCTCCGGCTACGAAGAGCACGTCTTCGTCGTCCATGTTCTTGAGAGCCTCAGTCAGGATGTCGTCTTCCTCGTAGGACTCGGGCAAGGTGAACAGAAACTGCCCCATGATATTCCAGTGGGAATCAACGCGGTCTGGCTCTTGGTCTTCACATCCGTCTTCGTCTCTCTGGTATCCGACGAAGTGCGAGGCGGAACTCATTCCATGGATACGATGGCCGCCTTTACTTGTCGTTCAAGCTTCCGAAGCTTCTCACACACAATGTCAACATCATGTGGCCCCTCAGCCCAGTGCTCAGCCGTATCCCAAGCGGATTCGCTGAGCTTGGATTCTCTGAGAAGCTTGTACCCTTCCAATTCCTCCACTAGGATCACGTGCTTCCCAACTTCTCCGAAAAGCACTTGATTGCGAGCGGTATAATTGGCCAGGGATTCGTCTCGCTTGCGCTCGGCGTCGTCAGCATAGAAGGGCTTTTTTCAACAGATTGGGGCATCCTGCGGTCTTGGTGCTCGGCGAAAGCCTTTTTTTATATGTTTGACCACAACCTGCCCCCTGTCCTCCGAGGACAGCTGGTCTTCGGTGAGTTCGTTGATAAGGGTTTTGGGGTCATCCCTGGCGTAGCCGTGAAAGAGGTATACGTTTTGACGATTCATGATTTTGGCAGTCGTGACCCACATCTGCAGCTCCTTCATGTAAGGATCTAAACGAGTATCAGGATCGTTTGCATCCCCAGTGGGAGGTTGGTCGTGTGGTATCTTTTGGGCCTCCGATTGTTCAGGAAATTGTCTGCTTTGGCGATCAGAAGATCTGGCAGTGGTATCTCCCAAATAAGTCGGAGCTGTCGGAGGGAAAGGCGTAGCCTTTCCCCGCAGAGGCGTGTTCAGCCGAGCTGGTGCAGCCGGCGAACCACGGCCCCGCGCGTTCCAATTTGATGAGGATGATTGCGCCTTGGGTTGTGTCTCCGTCCAGGGCTGTGAGAATCGGCGGGCCCAGTCTTGATCTGACCAGCCCACTTCGTCATCACCGTCCCCAGGAACGCCTTCTCGTCTTCCGCCTCCTGCCCAAGCATCTTGTCCTGGCTGTAACCAAGGATCATCTGGAAATTCATTTTCGCGAGGCTGCGCGTCGTCTGGAGGATCCATGGCGGCGCTCGGTGCAAGAGGGTGGAAAGCGGGAAGAACGGGAACATAATATGGAATCTGTCTTCTAAGAGTCGATTGACAGGGGAGTCGGCCTGACTCCCCTCGTGGATCGCAACCGCTGGCTCCGCTGCCACCGTGGAGTGTACGGGAGTAGCTGTATGGAATACAAAGAGACACGAAGTACGAGTAGGGGGGCCCGTGCAATGGGAGAGAAAGTTCTCGTTCCTTTTACGGGGGCCAGGGCGTGTCCGTCGCCTGCGCACCAGGGGACTCAAGGGCTCTTGTGAGCCACAACGGAGGCACACAAGGGAGGTGGGACGGAGGCGAAGGAGGACAGGCTGACATGGACATGACAACCACATGGCCCCGTCGGGAGCTCCACGGAAGGCCCCATTGGCTGCGCCCGCGTGCCGCCACCCCCTCATTTTGGCACACCCCTCATTCGTTTGGTGGTCCCATAGGGAGCACCACCGATGGCCCCAGTGGCTGCGCATGCCGCCACCCCCTCATTTTGGCTCCCATCGGGAGCTCCACCGAAGACCCCACTGGTTGCGCCCGCATGCCCACCTTGACCCTTCGCTCTTCTTTACAATCCATGAGGTATCCGTCCCTCCTTCCCTCGTTCACCACCAAGTGGCCTCAGCATCGTCACGCCGCCCACTGGAGCGGCCAAGCTCCAGGGCGAACTTTCGGGCGACTCTTGTTCGTTTCGCAGCCCAGCAGCACAATCCGTTCGTTTCACAACCACGCCTGGCTCGGAATGCCGCAGCCTCCCCCGCGCGGAACGCGAATACAACCGCGTTTGGGTCCAACGGTCGCGCCCCAGGGACTGAACGCCCGATGTTGGCAGTGCGCCATGTTCTTCCCGCCGCCGTGTTAAAACGCCTGTGGCACGGGGCTGGACTGTGGGTGGGTGGGGGGAGGAGTTCATGAATGGCGGAGGGAAACGAAGGATTTGAGGTTGGTTACGGTGTTTCTTTTTCCGCCCCCCGAGTGTCAAAAGCCGCCTGAGGGGGGGAACCCCAGTTCGGACCCGATGCCATTAGCTGGAAAGTCGAAGGGGGATGAGGAGGAGGAGGAGGAGGAGGAGGAGGAGGAGGAGGAGGAGGAAAAACAATGAGAGGAGGGTGGCGCCGGGGAGGACTCCGACACCGACTCCGAGGCCCCCGCCGCCTTTGTTGCTCCTTCGGGGGGCAGGGGCAGCCTCCCCAGCAACGGTGTTCCCCCGACGCGCCCGGATTCTGAGGATCGAGGCTGTAGTTGCCAGATGTTATGTAGCTTGCCTTTCCCTCGGTTGCCCCTCATATCAGGTCCAGGCGTAGCAACGAAAAATGCGACGGCCCGTTGTTACATAGTTTCCGCCCCCCAGAGGCCGTCGCCCTGCTCCGGGGACCGTCAACAAAACGGCTCGGGATAAAACGGTGGTCCCCGGGCAGAGGTCGAGCTCTTGGGCTGCCCGCGTCGCAAAAAAAACACAACGCATCGTCGAATTCGAGGGGTGATGGGGGAAAGGGTTGCATTTTTTCACACCGTGCGTTTTCGCCCGGTCTCGGGTCCTTGGGCTATTACAGATCGATTCGGCTTGACAATTGTAGCAGCCAAATAATCGGGTCTAGGACTCTTGTCGTGACGTTTGGCCATGTTGCGTTGTTTGGCGACTGTGGATCTCAGCGGAGGAGAAGAGCCGCAGGTAGGCACGATTGCATCGTTGTGCATCATTGCGTTCTGCCACTCCTGGGACTCTTGCCTCTGCGTCAGTGTCGGTTGCGCAGTTGATTTGCTACCTCTCTCATCCCCACCGCCGGGCTGAGCGGTGCGCGAGCCCTTTCGGCCGGGGTATGCGCCCCTTCCTGCGCTCATCGCTTCCACCCCAAACCCAGATATCGGACGTAGTGTTTATTGTGCTCCCAACGTGGTTTCCCAGAGGTCCGGACCCCTTCCTTGGACGGGCTTTTCATCCTGAGTTGTTAATTGACGATCCCGTTTCCCGAGAAGGGCATCCCGGAGGCCGCACAGTGCCGAATACTTTCCGCTTTTCTTTTCTCGCAGTGCCAGGATTTCAGGCAATACCCGTGTTCGTCCCATCTGTTTCAGCAGGGCTGAGAGAAAGTCTGGCTATGACATAGTTTTCCAGCGCCTCCATGGTATTTCCTTGCCGCGGCTGGGTCTGCCTCGAACTTCTGGCCCAAAACGCACCGCTTGGAATGGCCAGGATCTTCTTAACCCCTCAACCAAGACCCTGACAGGTTTGGTCTTCAAGGCTTTCGGATGTCTTCCTCGGTTCCTGGAAGCTTTACGGCCTTGCGGGATGCCCTCAGTCCTGTTCATGTTCCACTCTGTTTGGCTGGTGGATTGATTGTTTCACCATGTTCCACCCATGCCCTGCACTGGACCGACCATCCGGCAGGCCTGCTCGTGTGGCTTACTTGCTCGTAAGGGGAGGGACCTTCGTTGCCGATTTCGGCTGGACACCGCTCGTAAAGCTTACCAGGATGATGCCAAGTATCCAGAGCGAAACAAAAGCGTTCAAGCTGGAACACCGCCAGTGGGTTCAGAATCGGCCAATATGGATTGATCTGGCGATCGAGAAACCGCTCATAGTTCAAACGTTAACGATAAGTGCGATGTCAGACGTGAAACGGTTGCGATGGATCGTTCAATCGTGAAAGGATTACGTGCGCGCGCGTGAATCCAGATGAATTTCCAGAGATCGCGCTACATATGCGGGCGTTCGTGACCTGTGGGCGGCCTCGCGAGCTGACGGGGCATATTCACGCACTCGGCTAGGTGCGCATGTCCTTTTTGTGGCGCCCTGCAGTAGGAGCCAACGGGTAGAACTTGCGCGGGCTCTGTCCAGGAGGAGCAGACACGGCAGGGCGAGGTCCTTGGAGGCTTCCACAGTCTCCCGATGGTCCTGGGAGGCCTCGGGAGGCTTCTGCAGGCCAGAAGAGGTTCAAATATGGGCAAACTCCTTAATCCTGGGCGACGTCGGCGATCCTCGGCGACGTCGATGACCATCGGCGATGAAGACGACCATTGGCGCAGACGGTCCACAAACGTCTTCGGTTCTCGACGACCCACGAGGACGACTCATCCTCCCTCCGTGTCCCTTCCCTGTGTTCGGCGACCACGGCCGTCGGCGACGGCGACGAACCCCTGCGACGACGGCCCGAACATTTCGGCAGTGCCAAGAGGGATCAACATCGAGGGGGTCGCCAGCTCTTCCTGAGGCTCGAGGTTCGAGGATCAAGGGCCGAGGAGATGTTGGACGAGCTTGAGCGCTCTGGGAGGCCATGGGTGGCCTTGGAGGTCCAGAGTGGTCGTCCTCGAGGAGGTGGCGACCCCCCTAGTGGTGATCCGCCCCTTGCGATGCGGGGATTTGTACACACCCGCCGCCTAGGGGATCGATCTTCGGGGCCGTTGGCAGGCGGTGCAAACGGAGATGTTTCCCCCCCCCCCCCCTCCCCCCAGGACTTCAAATATGTCCATGTCCATCGTCTGCCGAGGTCCCCGAAGATCGATCCTCCAGGCAGTGGTTATGGATGCATTCCCGCCTCGGACCCTTGGCTGGCATTGCCTATGTGACCCCTGGCCCTCGGTCACCACGACTGCGGCTTGCCCTCCTCCCATTCCTTCCCTGTGCTCGGCGACGACGACCGTCTGCGACGTCGACGGTCCCCCGGCGACGACGACCCGAAAAGTCTCCCCAATCCCCAGAAACTCACGACGGCGGCTTGGTCCACCTTGAGAGACGGCCCTCTATCCTCTCGATAGCCCCTCGAGCCGCGGCCTCGGCCCCAGATGTCCTTGGCACCTGTCCAAAGCTCCAAGTCTCCCGGGTGGTGTCCAAACAGGTGGGGTCGGAAGACGCAGGGTCGCGCCGCATCGCCGATACATCGACGAGGCGGCTCGATGTGAAACCCGATCTTTGCTAAGCCGCCGACCGCGCCGATGCATCGCCGACGTCGCCGATGCATCCGAGATGCATCGACGATGCGGCGCGATCCTCTGACTACTCGGACCCCATTCGAGAGTACTCAAAAAGTGCGCTCGATCCTCCATCCTCCTCCGTCCCTTGCGACGACGGCCCTCGACGACAATCTCTCTACGTCGATGATCCTTGATCCCCGGTGCCCAGAACGACGACGGCGACGACGACGACGACCACGACGGTTCTCGGCGACGACGTTCCAAAAATGCCTTCGGGACTTCGGCAGGTATGGCGACCCCAATTCTCGATCCTTGCTCTGATGTTTTCCCGATCCTCGACCTCCATCCTCGCACTTCGATCCCCCCCGCTCAATTTCCGATCCCTGATGCTCGTCCGTGTCCTGATTGATACCTACCTCCTACAGGGGGCCAGATCAGGTGGGGCCGGAGGATTGCGTCGCATCTCCGATGCATCGGCGATACGGCGCGGTTTGGAGCCCGATCTTCTCCATCCCTCGAGGAAGCTTTCGGGGTTCAACGCGGAGTTGTTTGATCTGCGTTGGACATCCTTGGCAGCGCTTCCCGCGCCGCCGCTGGCGCGCTCCGGGCGTCCGGAAGGTGAGTCCAGCGCAGATCTAAGAACTCCACGCGAACCTCCGAAAGTTTGTATTACTGCAAGTGTGAATTTTCTTCAAATCCCGCCGTCGCCGATGCATCGGCGATGGCGGCGCGATGCAGATGGGAGGCCTTCAATTCTTGACGCGTCGCGTATCCCCACCACTCGGCCCACAAACAAGGGAACTCCTGGGTCAACATCAAGTCTGACCCCTGGCGAAACACGCCACAGCAGTGCGACGACTTCCTCCAGGCATGGAGCAAAGTGGGATACGACGCCTACAAGATGGACAGAGAATACCAGCTCCACGTCGACTGGCCAAACGTCATGGAGAAGCAACGCAGGCACACGCAGCGCGACAATAGAGCACGCGCAGTTGAACCGCCCATCGGAAGCGGAGGCATACACCTGTGGACCGATGAGGGCCAAGAGGCTGCAAAGAACCCCCGTGGGCCTCCGAGGGCAGAGCCACACGGACAGGTGCATCTGGATCAGCAGCCCCCTGGCGTTCTTGGCAGTCCTGGGACGAGTGGGAGCATCAGCGAGACACATGGACCGACGCAGACTGGAAGGCCAAGGGGGAGCGATCCTCCCCCAGAGGAGAAACCCACTACGCGGACAAGCGTCAGCGCGGTCGGGACTTCGGCCCCAAGTGATCGCGACATGGCCTTGACGCATGCGCTCACGAACCCCCCCCCCCCCCAGGTCGGAGGGGTTGGCCCGCCCGCTCAGGGTCCTTCCGCGGGCGTGCCACACGCCTCCCCCCACCTGCTCATCTGGTCCTTCCCCTGTGTCCCGTGGAGGATGCTCCGCGTAGCCTATCTGCGGCTCAAGCCTTTCTTCATCCAGTCATGTCAATTCTCAGAGTTGCCACTCGGGCCGTCATGGTTCGCAACGCTTGCTTTTGGGACAATGACGACCTTGGGCAACTGGGAACAGCCTCCCCCGCCCTCTACAAGGTGGTCTCCATCGCGCTGACCCTGTGGGCAATCTGGGACCCCTCCGTTCCAGGCGGAGCCCGCTGGGTCGGCAGCCCCATGGTCCTCAACCGGCCCTTTGCTGCGCACAGCGATGCAGGGGAGAGGGACTGAGGAACGCGATGTGTCACTCCCCCGCGGTCCAGCTTCCCTCGTTGGCGTTCCCCGCCCGGGCAGGGACTGGTTTTACCGCAGTGCCAGGCCTCGGCCTTAATACCCCCGTGCCACCTCTTATGGGGCAGAGGTGCACCAATGCCCATGCGCTGCGCACTAGACAGCCCGCGCTGGTCTCGTGGAAGCCTTCTGAACGGTGGATGGTGGCTGAAATAACCCACCCCCCGTGTCCCACTGGGACACCTACTTTGGATGACTGGGGAGGCTGACCATAGACCCACCCCGCGCGCTCCACCTGCATTGTTCCCCCTGGGGCACCTGCTTTGGATGGCCGGGGATGGTGGCCAGAGGCCCACCCGACGCGCTCCACCTGGCTCTGACGCTCTGCACCTCACGTGCTTCCCCCCTGACGATGCCGCCTTGAAGCAGGGACATAGCGTTCCCCAGCAGTGGTCAGGCGCTCTGTTCCCCCCGCGACCGAGGTCCCACCGCTTCGCGCGGTGGAGATCACAGTGGCCAAGGTCT